CAAGGCTGATGACACTTGTCTAATGAGGAAATCAATGATACTGCACAAACTGAAGCATATCTTCCTGGGACCGTTGCCATTCCCCTATACAATTATTGCATGACCTTGTTTTTTTTTATTGCCCTCAGTTAATTAGACGAGGACTGGATTGCTGTCATCCTTAATAGGTCGGCATGTCACGTTTAACTTGAGGTCCAATTAACGGGAAATTTGTTTTGATAAGTTAAATAAGGGGAACAACAAAATATTCAGAGCAATGTCTTTTTTTTTCTTTCTATTTTTTTGCATCACCGAAACATTTATTGGTCACCGCATTGAAACTGGGAGTGTAACGCACGAAGAGAACTGCAGTGTGACCCTCCAGTCTCTGCCGTTAGACGATGCACACATTCTGCAAAATAAGGGCAGGATCAGCTTTTTTTTGGGGGAGGGGGGGGGGATTTTTCTGAGATGACATGAAAATGTTGTGGTCATCACCATCAAAGTGATTTGTTGTCTGCATGTTCCCTGCTTTAGTGACAAGGCCACTGACAAGCCGCTTCATGGGTACTAAATTGAACCGCTTGACAAGTTGCTCAAACAATAGTGATACACAAATGGCAGTACGAGGACAAGTTGAAGAACCACAAGTAGCGCTTGTCCTATCACTTCTTCAACTTGCCGTTGTCCATAGCACTATTTGTGTTTTCCTCCTCTTCATCTGCTTCATAAAGAGCAAATATATAAGGCTGCTTAATAAAATGACAGCGTCCGTCAAATCGGTAAACATTTCTCTGTAAAACATATTGCCCTGGCCAAGTCCAAGTCTCGTTTTCACGATGAGTCGCATAGTGAATCGGCTAACAATGGTTGATGAATATGATGTAGTTCTACTGAATCAGTAGCATACTTCAATCTCTCTTCTGCACAAAACCTATGTTTCGGAGCGGTTGACATAGTGTTTTCTCGACAGCCGAGGGGCTTGAAGCAAGTGCTTAATGTCTGTGAGCCTCCACCATTGAAATTTTAACTTGTCACTTGCTCTAGAACTTGATAATGGAGCAATGGCAGATTTTATGAAGTTTGCGAAACCGACGACGGAGACCTTCGAATGGGAAAGGTTTACAGGGCTAGAAAAATAATGACAGCACGTCCTCACTCACAATTATCTGTAATAAAAAGACGGTGCCCAAAGAACTGTAGCTAGTTTTAACTGTCACTCGCTGAAGCGGTTTGTATATTGTGTTAATTCCTGCATTTTGCTGTTTTTTTCTGTTTCAAGATCCAGTGTTACATTCCTGTGGCTTTTTGGTTGTTTCCCAATTATTGAAGGGAGTTGCAGGCTTATCATGGGCGACACAGTGCTTTGGTGAGTGTACCTTTTATTTACTGCTTGGCCAATCAAATCGAGTGGCTTTGCAGGAAACTCTCTACAGTTTCAGGATGTTTGAGGGTGTGTTCTCCTTCAGACATTCTGAAATGGCACAAATTTTTCTGTGCTGCATCACTATACTCTGTTGAATGACCAGCTGAAATCGTGGTAGAAGCTACATGCTCGTTGGACCAGTCATATGTCTACCTTTCGCCATGTGTTACACTCCCGTCCATAACCATGTGCAGAAGGCGGGGTCAGGTAACGAGAGGGAGGTGGTTGATTGATCCGGTGGGTGCGTAGTTACCACCACAGTCAGCTTAGAGGTGAATGTTAATTACTCAAGCTTTAAATAAGTCACAGTACTCAAAGCTTGAGGAACACCTGAGAAGTTTTTAGAATATTTTTATTTACCGTGTCTACTCGCTCCATGAGTCTCAAACTACGTCCAACTCGGCTAGCCATCAAGCCAATTTTCTTTCGCCGCCAAGCGGCCAGGCCACTTCAAACCAGGCAAAGCATAACGATACACGCTTTCATGGCTAAAAGTGGGTAGTTGCGGATGTGATCAAGAGTGAAACCGAGCGGCGCATACACGTAACAAAGCTGGGGTCGAGGAATTGCCCAGCTTTGGACATGTTTCGCCCACCGTATGCTTTAATGTCAACAAACACGCGGTCATCTGTAGTGTGCTTTCGGACAGTGAAATCGTGAAAGTGGTTAGGCCTAAGGACGGTCGCGTCACTCACCATGCTGAGTGAGCTTCCCTAGTAAAAAAATCTTAAATGTATAAAAAAAATTTATGTCCAACAAACGCGTATGATCCAATAAGATCATATAAGAAAATACAAGAACCTTATAAAAACATATAAGAACAATATAAAATTATATTTGAAGTTATAAGAAACTTCTTTTCAGTTTCTTAAAACTTATATAATCTTATATATTTCCTATATTGTTCTTATACGTTTTTATAAGGTTTTTATATGATCTTATTTGGTCATATGCTTTTATTGGACACCTAAATTTCTTACATGCAAGATTTTTTTACTATTCACTAGGAGGGCGCTTTTCCTTTGACAGAAGGCACACCGAAAGCACCCTAAAAAAAGGTTTTCAAATTATAGAACATGGTTATTGTAGCGCGCCCACGACCAGCCGTCAATGCGCCTCCGTCAGTGGAGACATGCCACAGTACTTTGCCGTGTCATACTGCCACCTAAAATTACTTTTTTGCGAAGTGTGTAAATGCAGAAATTTACCCTGCATAATGAACGCACCCCCGAAATATATGTCAATTTCAGAATAAAGAGGTGTGTTCATTATGCGGGTAAATATGGTAAAAAAGTGAATGATGACTCAAACAAAATGCAAAACTCATACATTGGAATTTGAAAAAAAATCACCAACCATATCCTGCAACAAGGTCCCAACGTTTCAAAAACAGCTTGTTTTTTTCTTCAGGGGTGACTGCTTCCAGATAGGGGACAACAGCTTCGTTTTCTTCTACGATAGTCTCTTTTTTTCACTTCGTTAGGTGGCTGAGTCCGTTCACGTAGCATGATGGCAATGTGCCATTGGACCTATTGATGTTTCCTGGTGTTGTTTGGATATTCCAAGACTATAAAAAGCTGCTGGCAGAAGTTAGTCTCAACATTAATGAGGGTGTTGGCAAAGTTGATGCGATATTCATTGTCCTCACAGTGCTCTGCAACAGCGCTGCGCTCGTGGTCGAATTTGCAGTTGTTTTTGTGTTGTTGAATTCTTCCTGGGAAGTTCTTTGTTTTTCCAATGTAAGTGGCATGGAATTGAATATACAATGCCCTGCACTCTTTGTTTAGAGGGATGACCTTTAAATCACAACATCATACGTCAAAGTGTTTATACCGGTTTGTGGGACACCTGAATACTTTCTTTTACCAGCATACATGACAGCGCTTCGCTAGTCCCCATTATGTAGGGAACACAGATGCGGGTGTGTGGACGGATGTTTTTGAGTTTTTAAGCTTTCTCCCGACCAGGCAGGCCTCTGCCAAAATGTTTGCCCTCAAAACTTGCACTGCATGTAGTAATGGCTCTTGGTCTGCGAGAATTTTTGTTTTAGTTTTGTGTTTGTTGAGCATTATTTTGCAAACGACAAAGGCTATGCCACCTCATTATGACCACAGTAAAAAGAGCTATACACTTGATAACATAGTCCTGTCATGTTTTTGCTTTGAAAAAAATGTTAACACACAATATTAATCTATTTCTTGACCCCTTGACTGGGGACCCATGACTAAAAAAAAAATGTTTTGTCCCTATTTTGCCTATATTTTTTTGTACGAAATTTTTCTTGTGCTACCATCATAGCTTTAATTTCTAAAGGAAAATTATTTCCGATGTTAGGGGATAGATGGTGGTTCCTCCCATACGATAAAAAGAGTGAGCGTTTAAAGACGCACTCCCCAAACTGATTGAAGAGTGGTGCATCTATGAGTGCGCCCCCCAGGCTGTTGTTAAAATTGCCAGGCATCCAAAGATCTTATCAAAAGTAATAGATAAATTTTTGTCTAAGGTGAAGTGAATATTTACATTAAATTCAAGTAATGACGCAATAACAACATGGCAGTGCCCACAAGCTGCATGCGCATGAACGAATTTCACCATCCAAATGGATGAATGACCGTTTTGGCAGAACTGGGCAATGAGAAAAAGGGTACCAATACTTGAGTGTAGCTTTCTAGGGGCTATTATCATTTTAAATTGCAATTCTCATTTGCTCTTTCTGCTCGCACCTTCACGGAGTACAGCAATGTGGGGAAGCAAGTCGAGGACAGCCTGTCTCGATTTCTGTCCCGGGGGCACTATGCTCTTTCAGGTAAGCTGCTTCCCTCTCTTAAGAGACACGAGTAGACCCTTTTATTCAAGACAAGAATGACGATAAATATCACATCAAATAAAATGGGGAACAAGAGGACAAAGGAGATTCCTCTTTGACCTTTCTCCCCTTTGTAGCCCTTTTCCAGGGATTATTATTGTATTCATACTTATTACATTATTGTGGAGTTGACATTTTGACAACCTGTGGTTGGCTGATGTGTTGTGGAAGTTAAAGCTATTGCACATTCAAACATTGTGTGAAATACAGTAGAACCCTGCTGCTGCATCTTTATGCAGTCACAATGAAGGATCATGACATGAGCGAAGATGTAACAACTGATAATGCCCTTGGGATAGCTATAGATGTTTCAGGAAGCTGTATTCCCTGTTTATCTCACCTTAGCTTTTATGGCTGTAAAAAAGATTGCCTTATTTTATATGTTGACAATTTTTTCAACACTTCTTAAAATTGTGGTTGAACTATAAGTAACACACTGTTTACAGACAAGCTTGTGTTTGCCCACAGCAGCTATGGGCACTGCATACGCAGGCACTAGATTCGTGTGAGCAGACATGTGTGTACATGTGCTGTGCCGACAGCCGCGCCATCGCTGTGATGCGTTGTCTATAGTTGCAGTTAAAAAAATATTGAAATATAAGGATGCAAAAATTCTGAGCCCCTCGAGCTAAACCATAGCTGCCTCAAACAAATCACTGCACCCTGCATGCCACATCAAAGCAGTGGGGCTTGATGCAATCAGCACTGCTTGAACATGGTGACATGGAGGTGGTAAAGAAAAATGGGGTGTCGTGAGAGCCTGAATCTCTTATTGTCATACAGGACCAAGCAAGAAACACAGTGCAGAGAGGCAAGGAGGTAAAATAAAGGGAGTAAAGCAAAAGGAACAGGGTATGTGTTCCTAGTAGTCATGCCGGCCACCTTGAGTGGCAGTGTTTGGGCATAAGAACCAAGAAGGAAATTCATGAAGCCTGTAATTCTAACACATATATACTTGTGGACGTTCGATAGGACCGGTTTCCGTGAACATAACAGCCGAGAAAACATGTGAGCAAGGTTCTTCTGTGCATATTTTTGAATGTGCTGCAAGAATATTTCTGGTTATATGCCCACTTAATTTATAATCTTTTTCTTCTTTCAGCTGACACCTTACAGACATGTCAGGAAGCAAGGAAAGGTTATTTTTTCACTCATTGTTTACATTTGGGTGATTAACTTAGTCTTGAAAAAAAAAACACGTCATTTTAATGACATTGTGATAAATAAATTTGGGATCTTTAAATCGTCCTTCAATCTTTGTTTTCTTCCCATATTCCAAGCCGGCACTATGTGTATCAGGCATGGAATCAATGGTAGGCCATGTAAACTATTGCAGTTTTTCGGCTGGCCAGCTTAAAGTTTACGAGGGGTTGACAATGGCGAAATGGTCACGAAATTCGATCAAATGACGTCTATGTGATAATTATGCCCTTATAAAAATGGTTGATGCCATTTTGTATTATTGTCAAATGGCAACAGGTGTTTAAGAGCAGTCAATCAGCAGGCAACAGATGTTAATCGTCATTGAGATGTCATCTTGTTGACCCGTATAGCCATTTCGCCACCGTCAACTTTTTGCCGTTCTATTGGTTATTGTCGGTGCATTGCCAGTGTATCTACATGCTAATGCTAATTGGCTATTGGAGGCAGTCAAAAGACTATAAAATGTATAGTCCTTTGATTGCCTCCTTTAGCCATTTAACGTTAACATGTAGATACACTGATGATACACCGACAATAACCAATAGAACGGCAAAAAGTTGACGGTGGCGAAATGGCTATCCGGGTCAGCAGGGTGACGTCTCAATGACGATTAACATCTGTTGCCTGCTGATTGACTATTTGTAAACAGTTGTTGCCATTTGGCAATAATATGACTTTCAAATGGCATTAACCATTTTCATAGGGGGTAACACCAGTTGGAACGGCACAGCAAGACTCATCTGCCGACCGTCTCTGAATCAGAAGATTTACTTCTCTGGTCCCAAGTAGGGTGCCTCAATGACCTTCTGTTTAGAATGATGCCACCCTTTGTAGTACCCGATGCCGACAGCACACGCTCACGGGGAAAACACAAAGAAATCGAGGAAAACAAAATGTCGCCATCCCTTATAAAAATGGCTTCCGCCATTCAATATACATCTGACTGACATTCTATTGCCCCTATCGCCATTCGATTGCTCTCGCTTGAAATTTATGGACACGGTATTACCCCTTTATTGAAGTTTGGCACTGACGTGGTAGGCGCTACAATGGCAATCAAATGGCGAAAGAACCCTTTAGCGTCTTTTTATTGGCAGGTGTCAATACAGAATTCGGGTATCGTCTTTTCATACTCATCCTATTGTCAATCAAGCGCCCCCGGTGGCAGTGCAATACCGGCCAAATTCTGCTGCAAGTAAATCAAACTTTAGGTACAAACCATAGTTGTAATATACGCTAGAGGTTCAATTGGCTCTTGTGTTCCGCGGCAAATTGAAGAAAACCATACATGGCAAATTTCTTTCAAAATGTAACTTAATTACAATTACAATCATTTCGCTCCAAAAGTAGTTTAACCATAATTACAACTACTACTATGTGAAAAATAATTCATTACAATTACAAATTACATCAAAAAGTAATGCAATTACTTTACAATTACTTATTTCTGGGAGCGACCATTTTCGTCTATATAACTTCAAACAACATGTTAAGGATGCAACGCATTTCTTCATTCCTTGCCCAAATGTTTGAATCGCCGAATATATGTCACGAATTGTACATTTTTTTTTGTAAATTTTCTTGAATTAATGAGAGAAGTTAACAGTTTGGGATAATGAAATCCTACGTTCTTATAGTTTCAATAAATAATAACAAATTAGTTTATATACACGAAGACACCAGATCACTAAAATAAAATTGGTTGACACACTTTTGTTAGCCAGGCAAATAAAAATGTGACAATTTGCCATATCTGAATATTTTAATAGTGTTAATATATGACTACAATCTACATCCACACGCGCTAATACAACCATATTTACAGACAAACGTTTCATTTTTTCCTAAATTATTTACAGTGAGTTGAAATTACAATGGCTCAAAATTTATAAGACCCGAATGTGGGCTCCCAAGTCCATCATGACAATATCCACAGGTGCGAAGTCAGCTCAAATATGCTTATGCAAATAATATCCGAAGTAAAACCAACGAAAAATAAACGTGAAAATAATACAAAAAAATGCGACAGTACTCAAAGAGGGGCGCAAAAAAACTGGGAAACAAATAAATAAAAAAAACTTACTTCATATACCCTTAAAAACCTCAGCCTCGGCCGCCTTTTTTTTCGGACATTTTGTTTTGTTGGGACATTTGACGATATTTACGACATTTCTTTTTTATGACTAATACTGAAAAAAAAAATGAAAGCCGCTTACAACTCCCTGTAACGCCGAATTAGAGCGCAGCTCTTGAGGAGGAGGAGGGAAGGGCACTGGGGGGGGTTAAACTAACCAGGGGGGGGTCACGTTACCTTGGGGGTCACGTGACCCCCAATGCCGATGATGTCATCACTGACGTCACTGATGACGTCATCAGTGACGATGACGATGCGGGTACCGATGACGTCATTAGTGACGTCACTGATGACTTCACCAGTGATGATGACGATGACGATGCGAATGTCGGTGACGTCATCAGTGACGTCGCTGATGACGTCATCAGTGATGATGACGATGACGATGCGGATGCCGGTGACGACATCAGTGACGTCACTGATGACGTCATCAGTGATGATGACGATGACAATGCGGATGTCGGTGACGTCATCAGTGATGATGACGATGACGATGTGGATGCCGGTGACGTCATCAGTGATGATGACGATGACGATGTGGATGCCGGTGACGTCATCAGTGATGATGACGATGTGGATGCCGGTGACGTCATCAGTGATGATGACGATGACGATGCGGATGCCGGTGACGTCATCAGTGATGATGACGATGACGATGTGGATGCCGGTGACGTCATCAGTGATGATGACGATGACGATGTGGATGCCGGTGACGTCATCAGTGATGATGACGATGACGATGCGGATGCCGGTGACGTCATCAGTGATGACGATGACGATGTGGATGCCGGTGACGTCATCAGTGATGATGACGATGACGATGTGGATGCCGGTGACGTCATCAGTGATGATGACGATGACGATGTGGATGCCGGTGACGTCATCAGTGACGATGACGTCATCGGGGGGTCACGCGACATCGGCGGGGGTCACGTGACCTCGAGGAGGGGGCCACGTGACTTCGGGGGGTCACGTGACCCCCCACGAGGTCACGTGACCTTGGTGGGGGGCTCGCGCGGTGCATTATGGGACATTTCCCATGATGCACCGCGCGGTTGCGCCGACGGCGACGGCGACGGCGACGGCGACGGCGACGCCGACGCCGACGGCGACGCCGCTCAAGCCGGAAACGGGCCCCTAAGAGCTGCGCTCTAAAAAAAAAAAAAGCTGTCGACGGCAGTGCTAAAAGCGCGACCTCGTTGCTTTGGATCGCGCGCCTCGAGCGCACCAGCATCGGGTGCAGTCATGCCAGTCAAGGCTACTCGCTCGCCACGTGCACGGCCTTCGCAGCTATTCTATGCAAGGGCGATAATCCGTCGTACTGCACACAAGTAGAGCTCCAGAAAAATGCGTACGAAATTACTGCGGCTGGGCTCCGTCGCCTCCGGTACACGTAATCTTCATTTGCAACAGGAGTGACGGACGGCACCGGGCGAAGTTTGAAAATGGAGAACGCTTATTTTGATGTTCCTAAGAACGCGACGAGTACAGGCGGCAATGTGGACAACACGCACCAGCGCGGACACCGCCGAGCCGCCGAGCCGAGCACCCGGCCACACACACGCCGAGCTACCGACATTTCACAATGCAGTCAGCGGCATCCAAAGAAAACGTGTTGTTGACGTAAAAATAACGAAGATGTCAAAATGAAAGCTGCTTTTTTTACGTCCATGACGCCATTGTCCACGCCCCCTGGATATCCAATCGGTGTCGAAAATACGCAGCCTCCGATTCCAAACCGAAACTAAAATCCCGTCGTAGTTGTGTCGCTAAGCGAAGTTTCGTATCGCGTATAAAACTTTTATTTTAATAGATTTGTTTTAGTTTTATAAGTTTGTTAAAACGTTTTATTGTTTCGGTTCGCCACTGTTTTACGAATAACGTTACGTTAACTTTATTTTCGCATTTATTATGCACCTCGAAACAAAGTCTTTTACAAGCCAATCCAATCCACCCTGAACTTCATTTGCGTCGAAGCTTCCGAAGCTTTGTTGCGGTTTGGTGTGTCTTTTATTTTTGCGTAGAACTCATATCGATCCGATATGCCGCGTCCGAGAATGGATTTTGCGACTAATAAGTGGCGAGGCACCACGCGAGCAAGAATGAACAGCCCTCCCAGTGAACACAGAACGTCTTGTAGACGTCTTGAAAGGTCTAAAATGAGCTCAAGACGTCTTGGGCTACGCAAGATGTCTACAAGATAACTTTTCTAGACGTCTATAAGACGTCTTTACCAAGACGTCTGCAAGACACCTTGTCAAGCTGTCTGGAAGACATATTTTTATAGATGTCCAGAAGACATCTACAAGATGTCTTTTGTAATCTCGAAAATATTTTTATCTCAACGTCGGGATATCCGAAAAAGTTTCTTTGTATAAATCTGTTTTTCATGGGTATGTCTTTTTTTCCTTATCAGCGATTGCTTTTATTACTTCGCGTTAATTATTATATATTTCTGCACCCCTCATGAGCCTCTGCCCAGGCAGCACAAGATATTGTGCCGACATTGGTCTCAGCATGGTTAAGGTGGCCCCATATGGGCCCAGCTTGACCAGTCTAGAGCCAGCGTTCATGATGCCGGCACTAGACTGGCTACATGACGGCAACATTGGCCGTTTCTGCCAGCGTCCAACCAATATTGCGGCATCCCGGCTACATGTCGGCAACATTGGCCGTTTCTGCCAGCTTACAAACGATACTGCTGCATCCCGGCTACATGACGGCAACATTGGCCGTTTCTGCCAGCTTCCAAAAGATATTGCTGCATCCTGGCTGCATGACGGCAACATTGGCCGTTTCTGCCAGCTTCCAAAAGATATTGCTGCATCCCGGCTACATGACGGCCACATGACGGCAACATTTGCCGTTTCTGCCAGCTTCCAAAATATATT